AGGTGTATTGATTCAGTGACTGGGATAATTGGGATGGGAGTGTCAGAGACAGTGCGATTGGCACAGGACAGAGCGGAGTTTAGGGCTGTTGTACATTGGGTCGCTATGAGTCGCAGGCGACTCGACGGCACGTAACAACAACAACATATATTTTTATGAACATTTTCATCATTCACATATACTGTGTTTCATAGACATGTACATTGTGTTTTATACAATCTTTCATTTACATAATATTTTTTCATGTATATTAGGGGCTTTTCTCCCCTTACAATCATCTTGCTAATAATCATATTTGTGAAAGTACATAAGCTGGCTACTTCATGCCTCATGCTTTACTTAATATCCCCGTTTTTGATAGCTAATTTTTCACTTTCCCATGCCTGTCAAATCATTACTCTGAGGGAACAAGCATATCCTTTTCCTGAAGATTCCCCTGCTCAACTTGGAAACTTTGAACATCTGCATCCACAATCAAAGTCCACTCCCGAGGAAGCCATCAGGTTGCAGCAATCAATCCTAGCTCACAGCATGGATTATTTTTTCTTCATCTGTTTGGGTTCTGATCAACTCATCTCCAGCCATCCATGTTGTTGTTATGTGCCATTCAACTCATGGTGACTCTATGTATAACAGCTCTGAACTCTGCTCTATCTTGAGCCAACCTCACTGTCTCTGACATACCTACTCCTATTACCCCAGTCACTGAGTCAATCCATCTCATTCAGGGTCTTTCTATCTTGCACTGTCCCTCCATCTTTTCAAGCATGATGTCCCTCTCCAAGAACTGGTCCCTCTTTCCTATATACCCGAAGTATGTCAGATGAAGCTTCAAAATCCTTGCCTCCAAGGACCACTCTCCAGGATGAACTTGTTTGGTCTCCTAGCAGTTTATGTTCTATTCAATACTCTTTTCCACAACTCAAAGGCACCAATCCTTCTTCTGTCATCCTTAGTCGTCATTGTCCTCCAGCTCTCCGATGCATAACTATTGTGAAGATCATGACCACAGTGAGGAGCCAATGGGCATCGACTCCAGACTCAGGAGTCTGCACTTCTTCCTGTATTCCAGAGCTGATGGTCTTTCCACTCAGCCTTAGCCCCTACTTGCCGTCAAGTCAACAAGCCAAATATTCTCATGACTCTCTGCTCCTTAAACCAACAACCCTTCCTTGCTCATCTGTGCATGCCAGGT